TCTAGATTTAATAACAAATAATTAAAACTTTATGTAATACTATTAAATTTACCAAACATTAAAATAACTTTTTAATTTTATTTTATTTTATAATATAGTTAAACTTGTATTAATATTTAATACTTTTTAATTAAAATAAATATATTCTGTTATGTGATTTTTGTAATTAATAGTTTGTAAATGTTAATATAATATAGTATTATATATAAAATAAGTACAATAATATTAATATTGCTAAACCAAAAAATATGTATAAATTTTATTCACATAAAATTACAAAGTTTAATAATTATAATATGTAAGTATAATAAAACAATTATTTATCAATTACAAATGATAAATATTTAAAAATATTAAAAGTATAAATTTCAAATAATATATAATATTATTTTTGGTGCAATGGCCCAGTAATAATATTTACACGTAATGACCCATAAGTATAGTTACTAATCTTTTTTTTTCTTTTTTCAACATCAATTACTAATCTTTTATTACTACATAAATATATGATCTCATCAAAATTATAAATTAATAATTTGTATATATATATAATATGTACAAAATTATTACTATATTATTTATTTTATATTCACAATAGAAATCGATGAGTTTTATTGAAATTATATAAGTATAAAACTATCATTATATTATTTATTTTATATTTACGATAGAAACTGATTATTTTTATTGAAATTATACTAAAATCACATTTAAATTCTATAAAATATATTTCATAAGAATATAATAAAATCAATATAAATGTTAAATCTCAAAAAATAATTAATATATATATATATATATATATATATATATTAAAATCCAATATTTTTTATTTGAGAAAAAATATATCTTAAAATAGAAAAATCTAAATAATAACTTTTTTGTAAATTAATAACTCTATAAATGAATAAAATATTATAGTCCCAACATTATTAATTTAAATGTTATTTTTTATTGTATATCATTTTTACGTAACTGTATTTGTTCATTATATATGTTTTCGAATATGGTGAGTAACCCAAAAATCCACATATTTCTCTTTCGACAAAAAAAAAAAACATTTTACTCCGTACAAGGCGCGGATCTCAACCTAGTAATAACCTAGTATAATATTATTTTTGGTATAATGTTTGGTGTCATGGTTGGAGATGACCAAAAACATTTTACACCAAAACACTAAATTTGATATAATTTCAACATTAAATTTGGTGTTATGGTTGAAGATGCCCTTAGCATCATACAATGTTATCTAGAATGATATTTTAAAATATAGTCAACTGATTGATTTCATTCTACATATGTATATTTAGTACTTGTTATGATTTTTTTTTCTAGTTTCAGTATAAATATTAATTTCTTTTCAAGAGGTTACCCAAAAATTCAGATTTATTACATATTAATTAAGGCAAGATAATCTTTGAAAAACACTATAAGTTCGTGAACAATTACCACAATCAGTCAATCTCCAACGTTGTAATAAATTAAATTTTTAGCCGTTTCGTTTCCAACATTGTAAAGATATTTCTTTATCAAAGAAACAAGCCAGAAACAATGGCATGTTTCAGATTCTTCTTTGCAGTCACAATTTTGGTTATGCTTCATCTCGCATCAATCACTTTTGCTTCATCTTATGGCACATTACAGGTAAACCAATTTTCATAAAAAAATCGATATTAAATTTGAGATCTAAAGATGCCATGTGAGTTCGGCGGTAACCAACCAACTATGACAAACCTCCAGAATTTCCCTAGAGGAGATCAAACTGTATCTGTATATTTTATGGAATGGTTAGAGATATTATCATTTCTTTTACAATTTAGGGCTTTTCATCAATATTCAGCTCGGCGACCAATGCTCGTCCGACAAGGATTGCAGCGTTGGACTTGGTTGTTTTAAATGCGGCATCGGTGTTGCAAGATGCGTTAGATCAAACATCACAGATCAATTCTCCGCTGTGGTAAGTAAGAAACGCTTTTGATATTTATATGTTAAAACTATTATGTTTTATATACTATCAACAAGAATATTGTAGTAATTTAATGTTCCAATCAGTTTTTTTTTTCTATTAACCAAACCATGAAATTTGAAAACGCAAACATTAAAATCCAACGTAAATTTTTTTCTATTAACCAAACCATGAAATTTGAAAACGCAAACATTAAAATCCAACGTAAACAAAAGTTTATCCTCATGATATATTATCTCCTAGGTCATAATTCTTTTTTTTTTTGTTAAAGTCTTAGATCATAATTCATATAGAAACGTAATATATTAACGGAAACAAAATTAATGTTTTGTGTGGTATGCGAGTGTACATGAGACTATGAGTCATGTCAATTTGGTCCATTATTTTATTTTCTTTTTACACATCGTTTGGTCCATTAGTTCTGGACCTAGTTCTACTTTTGCATTGGTTATCAGCATTTGCTTTCTTGTTCTTGAGTTCTGATACGTTCAACGTTAAAAGTGAATAAAATTCTTTCAACATATCTCATCACGCTAATATACACGTTTACAATGCCTTATTAATTTGTCGTAGTCGTAAGGTAGGTTTGATGGCGACTCTTGAGTTAACGATTTAACAACCGAGTAGTCTTCTTCTAATCGACGAGAATCTTTTATTACTTGACAGACTATAGTGACTCAATAATGAATGTGTGTGTGTGTGTTTTTGTAACAGAACAATTCGATGCCGTTTAATAAATATGCATTTTTGACGACCCACAATTCATTTGCCATTGAAGGAGAACCGCTTCATGTGGCGAACCAAGAAGATAGTATAACCCAACAACTCAATGTTAGTGTTAATTTATTTAACACATAATAAATTCATTATGTTTCTTAATTCCTAGTCTATAAAGGTAAATCTTATGCTAAACTTTTATGTTCAGAGTGGTGTTCGAGCATTGATGTTGGATACGTACGATTACGAAGGAGACGTATGGTTGTGCCATTCGTTTGACGAAAAATGCTTTGAATTCACCAAGTTTGTAAGTTTAATCTCACCAATTTTTTTTAAAAGATAAAAGACACTAAACATATCTTCGGTAAAATGATTTGTTGTGTTATGTTACATTTTAGAATCGGGCGATATACACGTTCGAGGAGATATTTGCATTCTTGACAGCAAATCCATCAGAGATTGTGACATTATTTCTAGAGGATTACGTCAAATCACCAAAGGCGTTAACCAAAGTTTTTACCGACTCTGGTTTAAAGAAATTCTGGTTTCCGGTTGAAAACATGCCTAAGGGTGGCCAAGATTGGCCATTAGTTAAAGATATGGTTGCAAGTAACCACCGGTTAGTCGTCTTCACTTCAGATAAATCTAAGCAAGCAACCGAAGGAATAGCTTACCTATGGAACTACGTAGTGGAAAATCAATGTGAGTTTGATAAAATATCAAATTTCCGGTTTGATTATTGTTGGTCCAGAAATAACCGATTAATCTCATTTTTTCAGATGGCGATGATGGAATGAAGCCTTCCGAATGTAGCAATAGAGGAGAATCTGCACAGCTAACCGATAAAAGCAAAGCTTTGGTTTTGGTAAATCATTTCAGGACAGTTCCGGTTAAGCTCTTGAGTTGTAAGGAGAACTCTCAACATCTTATCGATATGATTAAGACATGTTACGTAGCCGCTGGGGACCGATGGGCGAATTTTGTCGCTGTCAACTTTTACAAGGTAAGGTTATAAAAATATGGTTTTAGAAAGAAAATAAAATTGAGTAATAGAAATATTCTCTCTTGGTTTGAATATAGAGGAGTGATGGAGGAGGAACATTTCAAGCAGTGGATAAACTAAACGGAGAGCTTCTATGTGGACGTGATGATGTTCATGATTGTCATCATTAACAAGAATGACTTCAGAGTTTTCAAAAATGTTATGAATCTTAAAGCTTTGTCATTAGTCTTGTTTTTCCTCTGAATTTCTTTCATATCATACCTTCCAGAATGCATTGTTGAGACAAAAAGCTGGTAGATTTCAAATCATTAAAGACTAAGCTCCAAGAAAAGATACTCACATTCCGTTGAAACGAAAAACCAAAAACATAACGAAGCATAAACAAACAAAACAAAACAACAAGGATTGTAGAAAGTGAAATGAGATAAAACGACTTCACACCAAATAACAAGTAAACACCTTAATTTCTTGTGACCTTTGAAGAAAATTGCCACTATCCAAATGATAACTGAATCTTTCTAGAATACCGCAGAATACTTCAACTACAAAATCCATAACTTTAGAACCGGTAACTCATGCCAGAAGCGGTGAAAGCAGCTAAGAATCAATCTAGATTTCACTTAGAAGGAGGGTATACGAAACCCAGTGCCGGTCCTAAGAAATCTAAAATCAGAAGCACATTTCTAGAAAATAACCGTATTTCTGAGATTCAAACATAAGTTGTGCAGAACAAGTTTGTAACCTTGAAATTTTATCACTAGATTAAAGGAAACTATTGTGAAAATGTGGCCAAAAATGTGTTTATAATAAAATAGCTGCAAGCCGCTGATTCTTTCGCTTATGCCAAGACAGTCGAAACCTAGATCAATTAGTTTATTGTTATAACTTATACAGTTATGGCTATGTTAGATAATTCATACAACATTTTATCAATGTATCATATGGTCTCATTGTGCTTCAAAAAAATTATATCATATGGTCTCATTTGACATAAAAGAAACTCCAAGCATTTCCTTAACTATCATGAGTTTTTTTTTTTTTTTATCTTAGAGTCAATTGTTTGTAAACATTCAAAAAATTTCATCTTAGCATCTGTTTAGAGAAATTATGTTATTAAAAAAAAAAAGTGTTGTCGACCTGTTAAATTGTTGATGGAGAAAATCACTAGAAGAAAAATAGAAAAGAAATAAATAATAGAAAAGTTTAAGAAAATAATTACATTAAATTGGGCCGACCGTCATGGGCCTAAAGAGTTAAAGCCCATTAAAATCAGAGTCGTTCTTAAATCTTAACCAAAAACCAAAAAAAAAAATCGCTGTTCGTCGTCTTTCTAGTCTCACCGAGAAAGATCATTCACAGAGAAGAAGCACACAAACTCGAACAATGGCGGCGGTTCAACAGCAACAAGCGATGCAGAAGAACACGTTGTACGTTGGAGGCTTAGCCGACGAAGTAAACGAATCGATCCTCCACGCGGCGTTTATCCCTTTCGGCGACATCAAGGACGTGAAGACGCCGTTGGATCAATCCAATCAGAAACACAGATCCTTCGGATTCGTCACTTTCCTCGAGAGAGAAGACGCTTCCGCCGCCATGGATAACATGGACGGCGCCGAGCTCTACGGCCGTGTTCTCACCGTTAATTATGCTCTCCCTGAGAAGATCAAGGGTGGAGAACAAGGCTGGGCTGCACATCCACGTAGGATCCGATTCCGATTCTGATGTTGATTAGAGCTAGCTTAGGGTTTATGAATTGAGTCTGGAAGTTAGGGATTGTTGAAATCAGGGTTTATGAATGAATGTGGAACTTAGGGATTGTTGAAATTAGGGTTTATGAATTGAGTCTGGAACTTAAGGATTGTTGAAATTAGGGTTTATGAATTGAGTCTGGAAGTTAGGGATTGTTGTTTAGTCCCAAATACTTACTTACACCTTGAAAGGGATTGTTGAAATTAGGGTTTATGAATTGAGTCTGGAACTTAAGGATTGTTGAAATTAGGGTTTATGAATTGAGTCTGGAAGTTAGGGATTGTTGAAATCAGGGTTTATGAATGAATGTGGAACTTAGGGATTGTTGAAATTAGGGTTTATGAATTGAGTCTGGAACTTAAGGATTGTTGAAATTAGGGTTTATGAATGAGTCTGGAACTTAGGGATTGTTGAAATTAGGGTTTATGAATGAGTCTGGAAGTTGGGGATTGTTGAAATTAGGGTTTATGAACGAGTCTGGAGCTTAGGGATTGTTGAAATTAGGGTTTGGTTCTGAAATTAGGTTAGGGATATGTTAATTCTCTGATTTGAAGTTAGCTCAAGATTAGGATGATGGTTTACTCACAAGAGATCTATATGTTTTTGGTTAAGCAGAGAGCTTGGCTTGTTTCTCAATGGTTAATAAACTGATATTTCATTGTTGTGTTGTTTTTCTTTTTTTTACAGTTTGGGCGGATGCAGACACGTGGTTTGAGAGGCAGCAACAAGAAAAGGAGATTCTCAAGATGCAAGCTGAGAACAAGGCTGCTATGGAGACTGCTGAGGAACTTCATAGGAAGAAGTTGGCGCAAGACAGACAAGGTGAGATGGAAGAAGATACAGAGGTCAAAGATGATCCTATGGCCAGAGCTGAAGCCGAGGCTCTAAGCAATGATAACCCCTAGTGAAAGTAAGCTCTTGTCGGTTTCTCTCACTCTTCTTCCTCCTGTAGAATAACGATATAGTTTTCGCCCGAGTTGTGTCACATTATGCACCTAGTTAAGTTTGAGACTAGATTGTTTCATGAAGTTTCTGATCATGTTTTTTGTTATATTTACTAGTTTGTTGAAACTTGCATGATTTGAAAAACGTTATTAAAGAAAAAGCCAACGTTTCTTAACCGGATGCTCTTAATACAAAAAGAGTCATCACTAATGTAAAGAAACAATTTTCTTTTGGAACAAGAAGCTAGTCTAAATTCCACTCAGGTAATTTAAACCGGTCAAGTTTAGATCCTGCTGGTGTATCCAAAAACCACACCAGTTTCCCGTTACTCGGCTGGACCAGACGTGCAGGCAGAGACAAAGAGCTGTCTTGTAATGGCAAGTCATCGATTGCTAAGTGGATAGCGTTGGCTTTGGATTCGCCGGTTGCCACTATAGCGACGTTAGCAGCTGCGTTAATGACTGGCAAAGTGAATGTGATTCTCTCTGGTGGCGGTTTAGGTGCGTTGGTTAGGTACGTAACCCAGTCGTCTTTCACCTCAAGTGCTGGGTGGTTCGGGAAGAGCGAGGCTACATGCCCATCCGAGCCCATCCCTAGTAATATCAGATCAAACTTGGGACATTCACTGGTCTCAGACGGAGTCAAAGTTCGTTTTCTTGTCATCTGTCTGATGGCAAACTCATACTTTGATGCAGCTTCCTCGGCTGATACTTTGCCGTTAATAGAACATATATGCCCCGGAAACACTCCAACCTGAAAAAGTAAAGCAACTCTCAGAACAAGAGTCAACATTATAACAAGACAAACAACACACAAAGATAGCCTCAAGATTCTTCTATTTTTTAAGCTATCAGAAATCCAATTCAGACATATCTAAACCTTAGAGAGGAGATAATCCATGGCTTGCTTGTAGTTCCTATCATCATGGCTCTTACCTACCACACGCTCCTCTGCCCAAAACACATACCATTTAGCCCAATCTACAATCTTGTTGTAAGGCGACTCGATCAATTTTCTGTTGAAGAATCCATTAGGAGAGCGATCAAGGAGACTGAAAATGGGATCTTAACATGCTTAAAAACGTTTTAGTAAAACTTGTATTTACCCCATCAAGCTAATGAGAGGGCCTCCTGATAAAGCAATGCAGAAAGCACCCTGTTCTAGAATCGATGCTTCTGATATCTCAGCTATATAATCTACCAAACCAATGCTAAGTTCCTCCAAATTCTCGTGAACCCTTATTTCTCCTCTGTCTTTATGTGTCCACGTAAGCGCCATAATTGCTTCTTTTATTTTTCCACCAGTTTACATGTAAATAAGAAAAGGGATACAATTGTAAGTTAAAAAATATATCAGATTTTGATTGGGAGCTAAGCAATCACATTTTGGAATGAGCGAAACAGGGACAAGATCTTAGTTTTTTATTTTTATTTTTTTTATAAGATCTTAGTTGACTCTCACCAAATTCAGTTTGACTATTAATCCAATAATAAGCATTTATAATTTACAGAAAACAGCAGCAAAATAGAGGGAGGAAAGGATTTGTTACAGAGGAGTAAGAGAGAAGGTAGAGATCATGATTTGAGTGAATCAAGGTTAATGATAGATTGTACAAAGCGCTAAATAATAACATGGTTAACTGCATATCCAACACATATGTCACATCCACACACATGCTTAACATATATATATGAATATGACCATGTATTATATGAAGGTTGTGTACCAACAAGGGACATCCTAATCTGCCTTTACAATAATAACAAAAGGCCTCTTGGGAGCCAAGAAGAATCAGCAGAAACATATTTTACCTTCTGGGTTTCCACGTGCAAATCGTTGATAAAATGTTGTGATAATATCAAGTAATAAGAAGAAAATAGAGAAGAAGTTCGAAACTAATTTGGAGTTTGAAGTTCGGTGATTAGAAGAATGTAGAGTTTAGACGACGAATAATTTGGTTGTGTTGTGCCATTACAAAAGTGGTGTTTTCTAATGGGGTGTTTAGCTAAATTGTATTTGTTAGTAAATAAAATATATGAAATCTAAAACGAAGCTACTGTCAGTCATAAAAGACAACTAGATTTTGGACCCGCGCGCCCGCGCGGTGTAAGTTATATATATATATATTTACATGTAACATTTATTTGACAGTTTCATATTTTTGAATTTTGAGATTGATGTATTTTTCTAAATTTTTACTGTTCAGTTATACAATATGTTGTTGTACAACTTTTCATTTTATTTGCTAATGTAAACATTAAACACACAAAGTATAATATTATGAATATAATGTATGGTGTTTTATTAAATTAGACTGTATATTTTTATTTCCACATTGTTTCAGTCATTATTATATTAAAGATTTTATAGTGAGTAATAATAAAAAGTTATGGAATAATATTGAAATATTTGTTTCATAGTTTCCGTTGAGTTTTGAGATATCTGATTTGAATTTACTCATAAGAGATAATATCGTATGAGAAATTATTGGGTTCACCCTCTAAGGTGAACCTTCAGGTTCACCAAGCAACCAATAGTATTTCATTGTTTTATATTTATTATATTTTAAAAAAGGAAACAACATATTATCGAGTTATATTATGTTTTTAAAATTAAAAGATAAAAATAAATAAAAACTAATAGTAGTTACAAATAAAAAATATTTTTAAAAAATATTTTTGTTAACCCTAAACCCTAAATCCTAAATCCTAAACCTGAAACCATTGGGTAAATCCTCAACCCTTGGATTAATCTTAAACCCTAGGATTTATGATTAATCTAAGGGTTTAGTGTTTACTTAAGGGTTTAGGGTTTAGTGTTTTGCTGTCAGTATGAAAAATATTTTTTTACAAAATCAAAGATTTATCCAAGGGTTTAGAGTTTACCCAAGGGTTTAGGGTTTAGTTTTTTTGGTGATGGTGTTAAAAATATTTTTTTAAAAGTTTTTTGTTTGAAACTACTATTATTATTTTTTTAAAAAAATTTAAAAACATAATATAGCTCAATAATAGTTTGTTTTCTTTTTTAAAAGATACAAATATAAAACAATGCAATTCTATTGGTTGGTGAACCTCTAGGGGGTGAACCCAAGAATTACTCATATCGTATTGGCTACTCTAGAAGCTAGACATAGCATATATATCATGTGATTTGTTAACATTAAAAGCGAAAATACTCTTAGATAGACACCCAAAAATTGATTTGTTTGTTACAAACTTAAGAAAATCACATGAATTTAAATTAATGATTAGATATTAAACTTGATTTGCAAGATAAGAAAGAAAAATTAATATTTTGGTATTTGAATGATATTATAATTGTTATGCTGATTGCAGAAATATAGGAATAGATTTAGGAAGTCAAAATCGTTTAGGAGAATACTAAATTATTATATTTGATTTTGAATTTAATAATTGAAAGAGATAATATCGTATTAGTTTTATTAGAGTTGATTTTTCCTTAATTTTTTTTTGATTTTCAGTGATATAACTTATTATCAAAATATTGGTATTTTTAAAGAATTCATTCACTCAGCAATCTTATGAACTTGCTCATATGTAATATAGTGGTTTTGATTGTGCAGATGAAGAGTAACAACAAAATTATGACAATGGAATTTGAAGTTGTATAATTATGAAAGGCTATGTAGGAGAGTCTCTATATACTCATTTGATCCAGTAGATAGACGAAGATGTGTCAAGGTCACGAACCAATTTATTTCAGTGGTCAATGATATGTAGGAAAGTTGGTATCATCTGGTTTTTATTTGGATTATTTGGTTTTTACAGTTTGGTAACCACGAAAACTTACATGTCGGTTCATTAAAAAAAGTCAAAACGTTGAATTTAATGGCAGTGGCATTCTGTGGTAATTATTGAGGAAAATTAAGGTTTAAGTACAAAATGTACTTCTGTTTTAATAGATTAGATGGACCAATCACTTCTAGTGTCAAGTCGAATGGCAAGTAACGTGGATAACGTGGATAGATTTGACTCGTATTATACTAATTAAAATACTAAAACTTGACAGTGAATTTTTTTTTCCGATTTTATAGTCGATTTGGCCAAATCGCTACGCTCATGAACCGCCCAACGTTTAATAGCCGTATAATCGGTCACGGCGGCCGCTTTTTAGAACCAGGCTTATATGCAATCTTTATAATAAAACTAATAATATATACATGATTTTTTATCAATATATACTCATTTTAAAAGCACTGGTTTTGTTATTTTTTCTTTGTTTTAAACTAAAAAGAAATCTCATTTTCATTAAATTAAATAAAAAAATATTTTTATTGCTAAGTATTTTTCTAAAATAAAGCTATTTAATAGTATTAAGGTATTGCTTATTTTTTAATAATAAAAAAAATAAAAAAATATTTAAATGTAGAATATGAAATATATATTATATTTTAATTTATTTTATTCCTAATCATATAAACAAGAAACCTTAAAATAAATAGAATTATGGTTTTTCATATAAAATCGAATAAATCAAAAACCGCTAGTATATACACTAAACCAAAACAAAGTAGATATGGTATTAATATGGTAACTCGTTTTTATAAACCGAAATACCGAAAAACCACACTGAAACTAAACCGATATTAAACTTAGATAAGTATATATTATCTGGACGTGAAAATGGTGATTAAAAATTACGAAAAACGTGATGGAAATAATAATATAAAACAGTAAATTGTTGGAAAAACAGATAAATACATAGAATTATATTTTAATTTTAATTTATCTAATTCAATAAATTATCTGTAAATGAGATGGTTTATATATGATTTACAAGTTACATGATAAAATATTTGAGATTGTTTCGAATAACCTTAAAAAGAGTTAGTGAATTTAACATCTACAATATGTTTCTTAGACTTACTTAAAAAGATTTGAGTATTGCTTGAACTTTGTAATTGGATGCTTATCGTGTACAAGATTGTTATGTATGTGAGGTAGATATTTCTAATGGAGAGGTTAGATGTTTATTTATATAAAAAAGATTTTAATAATTAAGTAAATGTTTACCGTTGCACAAAAAAAAAAGAAAAAAAAAGGATATTTGTCACTAAGTTTTAGTCATTTGTCACCAAGTTATTTTGGGTTAGTCACCAAATTGATTTATTTGATTTTTCTATTTGTCATAGTTTAGTTACCAAATTCATCTATTATATTAAAATTGAAATACAAAATAATATATTTTGATTATTTTGCTATTTGTCATAGTGTAGTACCGAATTTATCTATTATATTAAAACTTAAATATAAAATAATATCTTTTCTAACTGAAAAGGTAATAAATGTATTTTTTACTTTTTCTAATTATTTCATTAATTGTCTTTAACATAATAATTCACTATAATTTATTTTACATGTCGATATGTTTGATGAAATTTTAAGTGTTTTTTCATATACTTTTTTTAATTAGTTCTAACCAGTTTATTTATTTTTTCTAAATAAATATAAGCACTTCATTATTGTTTTTTTTTTCCAAACAATCGGACAACACTTATTACAAAAATACAAAAAAATAATTACTTTTTTTTAAGTGTTTGTCTTTTACATTTATTTTTAAATATTCCTAATTATTTCATTAATTGTTTTCAACATAACAACTTGATATAATTTATTTTATTTCTTAAACAAAACAATTTGACATGTTTGAATGAAATTGTTTCATTCGGAACAAGAATTCATTTATCTATTCTATTAAAACTGAAGTACAAAACAATAATTGTCTTATTTAAGTGGCTTTTACATATATATTTTAAAATTAATTCTAACGAGTTCATTATTGTATTTTCCAAACAATTATAGCGATTTCATTATTGTTTTTTGAAATGATCCGACAGTATTTATTACAAAAATACAAAATAATAATTATTTATTTTTAAGTATTTGTCTTTTACATTCATTTTTTCACTTTTCCTAACTATTGCATCAATTTTTAACATAATAATTTGTTAGAATTTAATTTATTTGTTTGAAGGAGATTGCTTCATTCAAAACAAGAGTTCTTCTATTCTATATTACAAAACGATAATTGTTTATTTTTAAGTGGTTTTTACATTTTTTAAATTAATTATAATAAATTCATTTATTATTATTTTTTCAAATAATTATAACCACTTCATTTAATATTTTTTCAAATAATCCGATAGCATTTATTACAAAAATACAAAACAATAATTATCCATTTTGAAGTGTTTGTCTTTTTATATTTTTTTTTTCATTTTTTGAACTATTTCATTAATTGTCATTAACCTATTAATT